ATTTGTTCAAAGGTCGTCCATAAAGTATAGTCTGGCCACTTCAAGAAATATCTCTTAAAGCCAGTCACTAGCGAGCATATGAATATTATTCTATGAAAGGGGGTTTTTGTGGATATGAATAATTTTATATTCGTATTGGTTGAAAACCTGTTAAACTATCACAAATAATATTTGAAAAGATTTATGGTTTATTCATACTTGGATATCAGTAGTAATTCAGATTTATGAAATTTGTGTTGTATTCTTAGACGTCTGTCATTTGAATTGTCTACTGTTAATCATGGAAGAAGAGTATTATTGGAAACATTTTCAGTGTTTTTCTTCATGTAATCAAATATTTAATGTGTACGATAAGTAAAATAGAATTTATTTTTATATTATTATAATTAAAACCTTCAGTGGTAAATTCAGAAAGATTAATTTCCCATGTGAATAACTACTATTTATGATTTAGTTTCTATGCATATTTTTACATGGTTACCTGAACAAATATTTTAATTTTTAATAATATCACATTCTTTCATTAAAGTGGAATATACAGAGTTTAAACAGAACAAGAGCAATGAGGTTTGCAGAATAAAATGAATTCATCAGTCTATTTCACGGTTTCTCATCAAGTGCATACAACCTAAAATGACAATTTCTAATATAAATATAACTTTCGATAATGCAATGAGAAAACGAAGTTTATCAGAATTATGTGATATGTTTGTGCATTACATTTCGAATAAGATCACAGGATAGATAGACATCTTCCTCCATTGTGAAACATTTTGTTGAAACTGGTCATAAAGTTGACATCAAGTCAGCATTTGTAGTGTTGTACAAAAGCCTTCAAGGACGTATACTAAGGTTTATTGAGGCCTTGGCTATACGCAAATTGAAACCCCCTTTATGTGTTCAGAAACAATTTGTTCTTACCTTTAACCTACCCTGGTAATGCTGATTTATTATCCAAAGTGGTCATCACATCGTTTATGTGTGCTTTATTTATTTTCTTTCTTTGCTACGGCTTACCTTAACCTGTCTAGTTGGCCTTTTAATTTTCATACAAAAATGTCTCAACAAGTATAGAACGTGTGATCAGATTGTTCGAAATGTATGGCGCAAATATGTCATATAATTCTGATAAAATTCGTCTTCTCATTACATTATTGAAATTTATCAAAGGGACTAATTGTTTTAAATAAACATAATAATCAACAAATGTTTGATATACTTTAGTTTGTGAAGTTTAGATAATTGTTAGAAAAGTAACTGAAATCATTATAATTAGAAGAATAAGGATACAAAGTTTATGAATAAATATAGTCAAGACCGATGTGAAACTTTAGTTATCTTTCTTATACAACATGAACGTTGACTTTTAGTAGAACCGAAATACAGGTCTCACGGTTATAGTCTATCTATCAGATGATATAATAACATCAAAAAACAACACATCCAAATAAACTTTTGGTTGTTGCAAAAATTTGGAGATTTCTTGTTATTTAGAGGTACGACTTCATGTAAAGTGACCTGCATAACTTACTATAGGTTTATGTTGTATCTCATTTCATTCAACTAGGGCATTTTAGTACATTTGACATTCTTCAGTGAAATTTTATTTATTCATGCTATCAATCATTTATCGATAAACTTGCTGTACAGTATGTTGAAATTCATGTAAGTCTTTAGTTTAACGAAATTAAAGTAATGAATTTTTTTTAACAACAGTCACAAAACCACCACCGATATAACACTAACAAGCAGCTTGACTATCAATAAAGGCTATATTAGGATAACATGGTGGTTGGAGGTGGTCAACAGGAAACCCTGGACCCGGGTTTCGTGCTACTTGGCATTCGTCAGCAAGGTGTACCTGTAACCTTGAGGGAACTGATGCTCCCTGGCGGATTCGATCCCGCGTCACTCAGCTTCACAGTCAGAGACGTTACCACTGAGCTATTCGGGCCGCGACCGACCTCCTGTAGGACTGAGATCTAATCACCACCATGTTACCCTAATATATATAGTGCCCGCAGTGTCGAGCCACCTAGACTGGTGGCCACATTGCAACTTGATCGATAGCATTCGATCAGCACTAAGGACCTGACACGCATGAGATTGATCACCACCCAGTGATCAATCAATTGTGATAAAGGCTATAAAACCTAGTCGCATGAGCCACTTCAAACAGGTTATTTTAAAATATCTCAAAAATTACTCCTATGTTGTTATCACAAATTTGAAATACTTCAATTACACTCAAAACACTCAATAACGGACATTATTTGGAGTTATTTGAAAATGATCAATGAACATCAACCCAATAAAATCTGAAAAAACTAGGTTATTTTGTCACTTGAAGCCCTAACTCAAAAGAATTAAACTCTACTTAAGAATTCAGCGATGTTCATATAAGAAAGTAATACCATCTCGCGGTGAAATTCGAAATTCTTTGGAGGTCAAGAAATGGATGTCCCTTCTTACGATCAGATCATTAGTTAATATAGGCATATGGAATGTCTGCGCAATAATAGAGATTGGAAAACCAGTTAAATAACTGGCGGAGCTGAGGTGAGACTTGATGGTGCTCGGAATAAGTAAAAAAATCAGACTAGAGCTTGACAGAAAAGATTAGCTTCGGTGGAGGTGTTGTTCTATTCTGGTCATGAAGAAGTTATCTCGGAAACACGAGAAGCACAAAATGTACTTAGAGGGTGGTATTCTTTAGGATTCCGGATCACCAACACATCCTTTAAACTAAAAAAGTAAGGGATAACAATGAATATTATCTAATGTGGTGTTCTCATCAATGATAACGATGGAGATGATACAGATCGGTTTCAAAAGGAGGTACAACCAATTGCAGAGAAATGCTCACTAAAAAACCTGGACATCCTGATAGGATACTTAAACAGCAATTTCAATATGGAAAACATCGGGTATGAATACATCATGGGACTGGGAGAAAAAAACGAAAATAATGAGATATTTGTAAATCTGTGTCGTTTCGACGGAATAGACATCGACGGTACCATTTTCTCTCATAAACGCACACACGAAGTTACATGGATTTCTCTGGACAACACTTAAGAGAGTCAGATCGGTCAAATCTTCATCAGTAAAGGTTCATGGAAGACTTAACAATGAAAAGAGGAGCCTATATATCTTTAGATCATCACCTGATAGTGGCCAAGCTAGAAGTGAGGCTAAAAATGTGCTGAATAACTGAACAAACCGCATTATAAAAGTTTATTGTAGACTCCTTTCAATATACCAGCAAATGCAGTAAATTCAAGGTAGTTCTCAAAAAACAGGTTCCAAGGATTACAAAAAGTACTAATGGAAGAGGAAACTACCATAGAGGACAACCGGAAAGGGATTGGAAAAGTAAGAAATTCAACATGCCAGGAAGTGATGGGCATCAAGAAGCACCATCATAAAGAGTGAATTACTATTGATAGCCTGGGCAAGATTCGAAAAAGAAGAAAAAGTAAAGAGCGATTAGCAATAACCAAACAAGAATAGAAAAATATAAGGCACATGTTGAATATACAGAAGCAAACGATTAAGTGAGGAAGGTCGATGAATGTGAAACCGGAAATATGTGGATGACTTAGACATGTTGGCGGAAAAAGTTGTAAGATTACGAAATATGAGACAATCGTTTGATGCAACGAAGTTAGCAGATAAATATAGTAAATCAAAGAAGGAACTCTTTCTATGAGATACACTGAAAAGTTTTGCATAGAGAGCAGCTTACAGATGTACTCTAAATGAAAACTGGTGTTAGATAAGGATGTCTATTCTCTCTTTTTTTTACTAGCTGTTGATTGGATTACGAAGACCTTCATACCTTAGGGGAAGCGCGGAATACAATGATCGGCTTGGATGCAGCTAGATGACGTGAACTTCTCAGACGACCTGGTCTTTACATTTAATACACAGCAGCGAATACAGGTGAAGGAAGCCAATCTATAGTAGCTTTCATATCAGTGAGCCTTAGGATTCACAAGAGAAAAGGCAATATCTCAAAATGCAACTCTCAGCGATGAAGCTTTAGAAGACTTGGGAGCCTTTACGTTCTTAGGGAGTATCAATGTTAAACAAGAGGGATCTGATGGAGTTGTGAAGGCACGGAATGGCAAGGCAAGAGCAGGATTCTTACAGTTCTACAGTATCTGTGAAGACTTTTAGGTCTAGTAATTATATATAGATTGTTGTTTATACAAATACTTGGAAATTGAAACTCTGGTAAAATTAACTATATCATCAACATGTAGTGACGATGAAATTAAACTTGAAAGTTACTTTTTAATTATTTTAATTACTGAAAAATTTCCCCATCATATTAAAACACCGATATATAAATGAAGAGTATTCTTTTTAATAAATTCCCTTCAGATTTTGTAATTATAAAACCAAATTAATAATCTGATAAGTAGGCAGGTTCAAGATAAAATAGATCGTTCGAAATTACAGCATGTGAATGTAATATAAGATAAAAGCGTTAGTATTGGGGTAACTAATATAAAGTGGTAACTTGAATAGGTTTATACGTTAAATTAAATTATGAGATAAATGATCAGAGTACATATGGTTAATATGGGGTGGGAGAGATAATCGTTTAAATACAAGTCAGAAATCATGTGATAATATGAGCTACGTACGAATTATTAAGTTAACTGTTAGACGATAAATAATGGTTTAAACGATTTTAAATGGTAACCCAGATTCATTGATATTTGCTTCTGGAATTCCAGTTTACGTGTTTGGATAAACCTGTAACCCTTATTGAGCAATTTTAATTGATGTTTAACCTGAGACAAAACATATCGTTAAAATTCATTCACTTAATATAAATTATTAATGCTTAAATGAATTCTGCTAATAAAATAAAACGTTAAACTGAGTGTAATCAGATAATTTGAGCTTAAATTACTGAAATGTTTTAGACGTTAACATTGAGTAACGTCAATATTGTGAAATCTACAGATGAACTGAGGTGAAAATAAGTCCATTCTTCGATATAGAAAAAAATATTTGAGTCGCAACATAATTTATTAAAGTTTTTCAGTGATATACATATATGTATATAATACTTATATGATTGTGAGTTGCAGTATTTCATTCCTATGAAATTGTAACTTAAATTAAATAGATATTCGTTACAAATAGATATAGAAAAATGCAGTCTAGAATTGAAGTAATAATCATTGGAGATAAAATCAGTATGAGAGTAATTGTATTGAAATGTATCAATCTACCCTTCTTTCCCCTCTTGGGTTAAGTCATATTCGAAATAAGTGTTACAAGTAAATAGAGTTCGGAAACAGTTATCGTTGAGTAATTTTGTTCATTGTTAGATAGCAAAGTCTATACATTAAATGCTTATTAAAAGCAATTAAAAATTATATCAAAAGGCTATCTCTATTTCTCCTTGATTTGTTCTTAAATAATTCATACTCTTAGAAATGGAAAATATCTTGATTACAGTCAGTGATGAATAAATTAAAACTCTATTTTAAAGAAAATACTGTAATTTGTAAGATAATCAAGCTCATTTGTAACTGTGACTATAAAAATGTCATACTCGAAGGTGGATCCATAAACTATCCATAGAGTATCTATAAAAGTACCCTTTTATTGATTCATCTCTTTGAAAAGATATTTAATATTCATATTAATTAATTTGTAAATACTCCTTTAAACATGAATTGGTTTGATTTTTTGTCATACAGGAAACTACTTTATTTGACGGGTAATAATTCATACTCTTTATAGTTTAACAAATTTTGATTTATTTCTTATCATTACCCTTCTATTTCGTTTTTGTTTTTTGAAGACATGTTCGTTCTATTGACAGTTACAGATTACAATTTCGTTTCTTAGGGTAAAATGAAAGCATCATAAGATAACATTTACCAAAAAATAATTTTTTTTGTAATTTATAATTACGTGATTATAAATAAATTTTTGTTTATTACCAATTACTGATATAACAAACATTTCTAATAGTCTTCTTAACATTTTGTTAAGGCTGTTTCATTGTTATTCTTAGCTGTTAACACTGTGTAACTAAGTGCAATGACAATTACTAACTTTTAAAGACAAATTAATGGAAAATCACATTCTCTTTTTTATTTCTAGTTTAGTAAATAAGAAATACTTGAAAACATTAATCGTAAAATATTTGTTCTTTATTGATAGCTGATTTTTAATTGGTACCTAGTCTTTTTTAATCAATGTAATTTCTGGTAGCATGAATTATTCCATTGTTGATATTTAAGTTGAATTTTGATCGGTTTTACTTGGCATATGTGAATCTTGAGTAGAACGCCTTGTTACAGCTATAAATAGAACAGATATGTGACCGGCAGTGGAAAGATTGATATGCATTTCATTTTATTTTGGACTCCCCAACATAATTTATCCGAATCTCTGAGTCGATGGACATTTTCCATCTAAGATTGATTAACATTTCGTCAAAATATCACTAAAATAATCTAAAGTACTAAAAAGTAAAGTTCATATAGATTGCCCAAGTTAACGGTTATCTGGATCCAACAGCTAAGTGAATAAGTTGCTGAAGTTCGAAGCAAAAGGTATTAGTTTTATATTCTGAAATGAATACCAACTATCGAATTCAAATACATTTAGCTTGCAAGTCACAAATAGGTCGAAACGCGTGTCCTAAACTCCAATTCTATCTATTTCATATAGACGTCAATCAATTTTTACACACCTATGTTTTTAAAATATTAATATCTAAAACAGTACTGAAAGCCTAATATGTGTATATTATGATTTAAACTCAACACAATATACTTAGTATTGTTTGTTTGGATCTTCCCATCGATGTGTTTAGGACTGCAACTGGTCAGTCTCTAATTGGCATATGTGCATACTGTGCGTATTGCCTCGATATAGCCTAAATTCACAAGCATGGTAAGCGAAGATGGATAGTGGCTAGCAGTGGAATGGAGGACGCGCGTTTCGTCCTATTTGGGACTCGTCAGCTGGATGTACCTGCATATAATTTTTATTTCAATGTAATCTTCGATCGGCAAACCATTGAGAACGAGGTAGCCGTAATCAGTTATTAAGCTAGTGTTTAAAGTTTATACACGGTTGGAACCTACAGTTTTATATATAAATGAACCCACAAACTATGTATTTTGCGACTATCACAACAAATGGTAAAGTTCAGAGATATTTGGGTATAAGATAGAGATTGTCAACGTTTGCTTCATGAACTGATCTGTGCACTGCTTTGAGGTCCCAAAAGTGAAATGAAATACCACTCCAGTACTTACTAACTTTTATTAATTAACAGTGAGTAGAGACAAATGTCCGGGAAATAGAAGCAGATATGAAAAGGATGAATGGCAACTGGAAAGGAAGGTTCAGGACAGAGTTGGATGGAGAATGCTGGTGAGCGGCCTATACTCCTCGACGAGGGGTGACAGGCGTAATAAGTAAGTAAGAGACAAGTGTTGTTTTTCAACTGATCTTATCTTTACAAATCTACTTATGTAGACAATTCAATTTATTGAATTTTGTGCTTTTTCTTTTTGATAAATATCTGTTTATTTGGAAATGAAAAGAGACACGAAAGAAAATCAATCAAGAAAAAGCTCAATCAAATAAAATGCTTTGTTATTGTTATTGTATATTCAATCAAGAATATATATATATACTACTTATTTACAATGTTGGATAGTCATTGAATGTATTAATTCTTTTGAAGATTTCATTATTGTTTACAATATTTTCTTATTCTATAATAATATATCAAGTAGATAATCATTGTTATTGTTGGTACTAAACAAAATACTAAATGGTATAATTCATTTCTAATCATAAAATTATTCATATTTAATGTAATATGAAAAAATACCATCATTGATTTTTCAATATTCCGCCAAAATTTTAATGTAACAATAATAAAACAATCAATAAGATATATGATTGTTGCTAAGTGATCAACCATTATATATAAAGTATTAAAATGTTCAATAAATGATACATTGAAATAATCATTTTGTATTAATATTATTGTTTTTGTTGTTTTTGTTTGTATGATAGAATTTCTATGAAATTGTTGACAAATTAAATTAAAACAAAAATATAATAAAATAATAATGAATATAAATAATGAACATAAATGTGGTATAATAAACGATAATAATGGATCTAAATAAATAAGAAATGAATAATAAAATTTAAAATATTCTAATCTTACATTACAAGTAACCGTTTCAATTAATGTATAATTAGAAAATGTATGATTTATGTAATTCATTGAATTAATCCAATGAAATTGTCCAAATATCCATAAATAATTACATAATCCAGCAAATATTATTGCAATAAATAAACCTGTACTAATTTTTATACTTATTAAATGTAATTTACATTGATTACGTTCATTTAATGTTAATTGAGTATTTCTATTTATTTTATAATTATTAAATAGAATATTACAAACACGTTCAATACCGAATATAAATAGACACCATTCTTCAAATAATAAAAAAAATGTACCAAACATACGTTTTAAACGACAATTAATATTTAATTTTAATTTAATACTAAAACCATAATGAAATATTAACAAATTTATAATCCATGGTAAGAAATCTTCAAATAATAGATAACCAATTTGAGCAAATGCTAGAATTTTTATCAAGAAACATAGAATATACCATGTAGTCTGTTCAATATTTGGATAAGTTTGTTCATTAGGAAATGGGGATAAATATCTACGCTGGTGGTAATATATTGGTGAACTAGGTATTGTTAATTCTTGATTTGATTTGATATTTTTTAAATTTGATTCACTGATATTAAAATCGGAATATTGTTCATAGTTTGATGACTGTCCACTGGTATTTAAAAATAAAGATTTATTTTCATATTTTATTTCGCATGGTTGGCTTAAAGTAGACTTATCTAGATTTCTTTTTGAGTAAGTACATAGATTTTCAGATTTCTCTGGGATTTCTGTCACAGAATCGTCAGCATAACTGCTATTTCGACGGCTTGATAAAATATCCAACTCTATAGTAGTTGGTACAGGAGTGAGTTCAGATGATGTTGATAAACAATGACTGTGACATTCAGTCTTGTAATAACAACAACCCCAATTCATTTCAAACTCGCAACAGGAATGGGTTGACTTGGACTGAATGATAAACTCTTTTTCATCGTTTGAAATTGTACAACATTTCGATAAGATAATATTTTGGAGTATATGTTTTGTTGGCAGAGATCTATCATTTTTTCTTGTTGCTTCACCTAAGGATATACAATACATTATTGAACAACAAACTTTAAGATACGTGAAAAGTAGTTTGGTGTTTGAATATAGTCTAATTTCAATAAAATTCTTTGATAGCGCAGTCAGTCTTAATATTTGAAAGCTCTAATTATCCCGTGACATGCTGTCATATGACACTTCGGAACCTACTAAATTTCATTAGCCAAACTTCTAACCACACCCCATTCAGCCTCGTAAAACCACATAGCGCCATAGTGTTATAACCTTCATAGCATCTTGAAAAGCTATTAGAAACCGGAAAAACGTTGAAAATACATTGACTAACCAGCTTTCTTTAGGAAATTTCAAAGTCAAACCTCTAGAAAATAAGTAAATACATTCTCATTATTTTGACTGAATAATAGTAACCTCAACGTCTCATATACGTCCACCGAAACTCTTAGTTTTTGTATCTAAACTAACTTTTGAGATGAAGCCTATTTGCACTTATCTTGGCTCTATGTTTTGCCTAGTGTCCATTAGGAAGCAGCCCAAAAGCAATTATTAAGTGCTCAGTAACAAAAAGCATCGGGTATAGGGGCTGATTGAACACTGGTCATTATCATAACCCCTTTTTCGTGAAGTAGCAGGAAAACTAGCATATACAAACAGGTGAGAGCTTATTTTTATTGAAAACTTGAAATATCAAAAATAAAACTGGCATGTTCATTTCAATTGACTTCAAACTCTACACAAGACATTACAATAACAGGCATTAGAAATATCTTATTTACGTTTCTAGTTAACACTTCATTGTCAACCTTGTATTGTTATTAACTACATCAAACTGTTGTTAACCTTTAACTGGTTTTGGCTTTTTCTAAAATGTTCATTAGACATGTTTACTTTTAAGTATCATTTACCAGTATTTTTTGATTCCAGGCAAGCACAATTAAGTTGAAGCTTGAAGGCTAAACATTTCAAAGATAGCAAACGGATGTCATACTGAGATGTTAATTCGAATTGTTCAAAATAATCATAGTAATCGGACCAAATTCGAGTAGAGAGGATTTTTGTGAAGATACAAAGTGTTTATTTCAACACGTTTCATAGTAAAGACAGCAAATATCTATGATGAATAATCTCCAAGCGTTAATAAATATCATATTGCATCTTATTCTTTGAGTTGGTCAATAGATATGGGTAATGCGACTCAATTTTAACAAAATTATAGTGTATCAGTTCCCTCCAGATGTTACATGAGTCTTCTTGAGGAAATTCAATTAGGAACTAGCCCAGGTTCCTATGTTCCTTCTGACCACCTTTAGCCACGTAAACTAAGAATAACTATCACTTTGAAATTAATGGTTGTTCATTATCCTCATATATAAAACCGAGAAACAAGATTCACTTAATAAACATTATGATCATACTAAAGAAAAAAGTTTCGAACAACACGTAATCCTTCCAATAAATGTTTTTTTTCCAATAATTTTCGCATGATTTCGAAAATTTATCCATTTATTGTATTAACAAAAATTGTAATATTATAAAAATACTTTTTGCTTATTTGTTTCATGGTTTTTCGTTTTGTTTTCCTAATTTATCATAATAATAACATCCCCATTTGTTTTTCTTCTCTAAATAAATTTTGTCTGGAAAATACAAACTCTAGAAATAAACCAAATTTTAAAACTAGATTACAACAAACGATTGTGATTTTGAATAATTTTCCCAAACCGATCTTAGTTAGATCATCAAAAAAACACGGAGAAACTGAGCAACGTTTCGTCCGAGTATATTACTCTTCAGTATTGAGCATTCACGACGCCACAGACGGAATTCGAATGAAGGAACTTTTGTCTCATGAGCGAAGGATTGAGCGAGATCGCGGATTATCTGAAGTTAGACATTAACAGTGTTGATTACGGGCTCATTGTTCAAAATGCTTTGACCCGAGACCAAAAGTCCTGAGTTCGATCTCCATTTGGAGCGTTGTAAATGCACAATACTGAGGAGTACTATATTAGGACGAGAAGATCGTTTAGTACTTCCAGGTTTCAGATGACTCCCTAACTAAGTTTAGTTTTGGGATTTCACCTGCTAAAATACTGTTTCCTCCAAACAGCGCCTGTATGGACAATTTCTTCAGAATCACATTGAGTTTTTAAATTCAGTTAGATAGAACCACTATACTGAAGAAGGTAAAACACAAATGAGAGCAACATTTTTATCACAGTATAATTATCAACTAATATTTTTGCTGTAAGTAATAGTAGAATACGCAGACACACTGTGAATCATTATTAGGTTAACGTTTATTTCCAATCATTATTGATTAGCAATTAAAATGTCATTAAAATATAAAAATAAAGTTTTAATACTTACAGTATTTTTGTGGTGAACGTCTGAAACTGGTTTTAATTAAACGTTTTGTTAGAAATACGATAACTATAAGAATAATATTCGAAATAATCCCAAAAACTATTAAAATTAATAAAAATTTATGACGTTTTTCATTCCATGTTGGAGTGATAGTTTTAACTCCAATCAAACTATCATTCATAATGTGCCTTTTTCAAAAAATAATGGATATCAACAGCTATATTCAATGATTGTGAAGTCAAATATTCAACGGTGAATGTAAAGGGCTTCTGAAATACGAAAACAAAATAAATGAGCTGTGGAACATAATCGAATCTTAAATTACTTTATCTACTACCTAGAATTATTTCTTTGAATTTGATAAGTAACTTCAAAAAATTTAAGATTTCTACTCTTTGAAATATTGACCATATATCATATGTCTAACATTTGTTAAAGGGTATGCTTTTAATTTCATCAGGAATTCATCAACTAGATACATCTGAGTCTCACTGTTGATCATCAACTGCAATCTCAATTGCCGACAATCAAAGATGGGACTAATACAGAAGATAACGTCAGTAAATACATGTTGGTGGCTATCATTATAAATTAGCTCAGTGCCTTTTAAAACAATGACTTACATGTTTCAGCCTTAGTATAAACATCAAAGTTAAGTTCCAAGTACACTACACTGGTGGGTTCCAAAAACACGGAAACTTGCACATCATATTACACTCAGGCTCACTTGTTGAAGGACAATAATTGATAACACAATTTCCAGTATACATAACCGGTTTTGTTATTGTTTTACTATTATCATTTTGTAAAGAAAAAAGTTTAGGGAACAGTGATACTCAAATGTTTTATTGTTATGAGGCAATAAAAAGTAATCCACACTATTATTTATCTGTTGATCAAAACTTTTATGATTTCGAAATCTTTGATTTTGAATGAACTTATCTTACACAAAACAATTTTCAATAATAGAGCACTTTTACTTTAAACGCTGCTTTATTTCAACCCTAGATTTTCACAACATGATGGAGACAACAAATTAATTCTATTATTTCGTAACATTCAAACACAAACTTCATTATTTCTTTTATTTCACCTACATTGACATACATTTCACAATTTTTCAATGTTCAACACAATTATTCGTAAATTTTGTCCATCAAGGTTTTAAAGCAATTCAGGAGTTTTCGTTTAGAGACTAGAAATAATTGCACCTATAAAGGTTGTAGTTCACATGAAGGGTTGACTTGGACTGAATAACAAGTAAAAACAACCATTTCGTCGCGATATAGAGGAAGTCATCAGTGTAAGATTAGGAACCTTTCAATGATGCATTTAGAGATCTTCATTCTTGAAACTGAACAATTCACAGAAACTTCATCTGAAAAAGGTTCCATGTATAACAACTAGAAAATAATTCTAGACTTTATTTATATAGTTTTTTTTTACTTATCAACTTATGTCATAGTTTACTTGGTCGTAAAAAAAGTTACAGTACTTTAGGTACGTTTATTGTAGTTGTTCATTATTTGATTTGTTTGACCGTAACATAAACTTGGGTAGTCACATTTAACACCTTATACTCTTTTGTTATAAGCCTTATATAGAAATACTACTGTACATTTTACTGAAAGAACACATTCCTAGTTCATATTTCAATAGCAAATATCAAACATTTACTTAAAATATTCTAGCCTGTAGATGTGTCTATAAATATGTGAAATCAAAAATTAACTTCTTTAAATTATATTAGAGAATCTGTAATAAAATCAAATGCAACCACTGAACCAATTTATTAAGGATAATTTTATCGACTGGGTTTTGGAATCATAGATTTTATGCCAGGTCTAGTAATACTACTTAGTTGCACCAATTAAGGTCAATAAAGCAACGCTTAATTTATTTACCGTTGGAAATTTGTGTTACCTTATCAGAAACTACCTTCATAATAATAATAATCACCTGATAACAGTATTAAAGTTGACAGATAACATAAAAGATATTAAAGTGTTCGAAAGACTTGCATTACAATAAAAAGCTGTTAAGAGAAAAAAAGGACGGTAAACGTCACTTTTGGAAAGATTAACAATCGAAAAATGGCACGAAACTAAATATGAGACAAATTTCATTCAAACCTTTGATTGCATAACCTGAAAATTCTATGTAATAAGACATAAAATAAATGGAAATAAATTTAGAAAAAAACACTAACAACAACGACAATGACTGGGTTAGTTGAATGAACAATTCCTTGTGATAGAATTCAAGAATTTTTTCGTTTAACTAAATTATGTTGAAGCGAACTGATATCTATATAGTTTGAAAGCAAACGTAATATAGAAGAGATGATATACTGACTGAATTAGAAAAAAGAACTTGGTTAACAACTGTTAAAGTCATTTCTCTTAATTGATATATTGGTAAAATAAGGATTAAAAGTGAATTTGAATATTTTCTGTTAAAAAGTATTTGAATTTTCAATAATTTAAATATGTCAGTTGTACGATATTGATAAGAAGACTTTTTTATTTCAATTAATAAACTATTTCAAATGGATATTTTTTTAAAGGTTTATTGATTTTCCTCAAGATACAGTTCAAACGATCTCAATTCATGTCAAAGTTTTTGACTTTCTGAATCAAGATAATTTCAATGGATCAAATGTCGTAATCTTATTACTTTGTTCCTCTTAAACTTGACAGCTAATTAGGATCAATAATACCATCTGAATACATTTATAAATTTATTAAACCTCTATTCATAAATTTTGATCATCTTTTGCAAAGAAAAATGACATTTCGATATTATCGATAGAATTAGCATAGTTGAGTTTTTAATATTTCACAACTGAAAGTAAGTTATTTCTTTTAGTACTAAATAATGTTTATTATCAGAAGGGGTTTTGTTGAAAGCGTTAGTCAATTGAAGCTAGACCACCATGGAAAACCTGGAAACACTGGACGGCCGTTTCGTCCTATTATGCCATCTCATTATGTTCTCAGGCACCAAAAGTATGGTTAAGATATGTAGATGACACCTTTGTCATTATAAAACGGAACCATTTGGATGAACTGTTTAAACTTATCAACAACTTTGATAGAAAAATCAAGTTCACCAAAGAGTTGGAATCTCCTGAAAACACATTACCTTTCCTAGACTGTTTAGGGGAAAGAAAAGTTAATAATAGCTTAAAAATTAGTATATTTCGAAAGCCGACAAATTCAGGAAAATTTCTAGATTTTAAATCGGCACACCCACACTCAACCAAAGTGACAGTAGTCAAAAATATGATTACAAGAGCTCAAAAACTTGTCACTGAACCAAATGATATGAAAACGGAAATAAATTTAATTACATCTACCTTAATTATGAACAATTATCCAAAAGATTTTATTAAAAGAATAATTAAGAATGAAAGAAAAGACGACATTGTTAATACAAAAAGATTACAGAAAAAGGAATGGGTTAACACAGTGGTGATCCCATATCGGAAAGGAGTTTCGGAAGATATTCGAAGAATCTTAAATAATCAAAATATAAGAGTACTTTTTCGAACAAACAATACTCTAAAATCAAAATTAGTAAGAATTAAAGATCCAATACATAAAGAAGAACAACAAAATTGTGTCTATGAAATCAAATGTAATGACTGTAATGCAACGTATGTAGGTGAAACATCAAGACAACTGAATGTGAGGGTGAAGGAACACAAACAATGCTTGAAACATATTCCTAAATCCTCAGATGATGTAAGGAAACTGGAGAACAAATCAGCGATAGCATTACACTCGATAGAATCGGGTCATACAATTGATTTCGTTCACACAAAAATCCTTCAAAAAGATTTCAAATCTTACAAGGAAAGACAAATAGCTGAAGCCCTATACATTTGGGCTAATCCAAACAATATTAATAGGAGAGATGGAATACAATTAGCAGTACCATGGCAGCTAATCATTAATAAGTAATAACCTGAACTCCTTAATGTTTTTATCTAGTTCGTATTATCTAAAATGACAACAATTACACTCAATGATTCTAATCTGTTGTCTTATCGGAATTTGTTAAACAATTCATTGGAACATTAAAAATGACACATACATACAGTCAAAATTGCGCTCTTCAAATCTCACCTTTTATATTTTTATTTTGTTTAATTATCTTCATGTTATACATGCTGTGACACAGATATGATTCATATCACATATATATTACAAATTGTAAGTTTTCTTATAAATTCACTGATAAGAGACAATATATGAATGTGAATGTAATTTTCTCCTATCACCTCTTACGTTTTTCTATACAATATGTTATATGAACACTCATCAATTCACATCACATATCTCTTAAACATACCTAGTTTAGACTTATTGTTAACGTTGATTGGATGACCTATTCAGTGTATAATGAACTCGGAGAACCATGTACCTATTTATATTCGATAATTTTGATGTTTGATTATGTACTTGAAAAAGCTTGGACCAGATTGCCAGGCGAAACGTTGGATTTAATTAAAAAAAATTCATTCGCTGAGATTTTACAAATATATTATTCCTATTTAATGTCTTACTTCAACTCGGCGCTCAAATACTGTGAAACTATTCGTTCTAATTTAGACGAGAGTTCTTATAAATCTTTCAGTGTCCTATAAAAATGAAGGACTCATTATTATTACCCGAGCGAATTCATTTCGCTTTGATAAATTCATGGTGTGGCTGTAGGTAGATCAATCGGATCTCTTGCTAACTAATGTTTATGCTACATTTCGAAAATTTATTTGAGGACTTAATCGACAATGTATGTCTTTACAATGCTGTATGTAAATAATCCTGTAGTAATGTATGACGAGCCTAATGATGCGACCTTTCTTCTAAAAAAACGTTATATAACTTTAACGCACATCAATCTCTTATATGGAGAAGGGATGCATAAACAGCTTTTTCTTTTAAATTTATATTTGAATAAAAATGTTTGATGAAACGTCCCATTGATAGGAATCTTATATAGACAGGTCATTATCTTAGTTTTCATAATCATGGTTCAGTCTAACTCAAAGGAGGTTTGATGATGGGCATATTTAATATAATTATCGATTTTTACGCTTACGAAACTACTGAGGACGAAGTATGTTACGTGTAACATGGATACAAAGCTCAGCGCTCATTACACTATAATCTTCTA